CAGGTCATAAATAATACTTGCATTACTATTTATTTTATTGAAAGTGAGTAAACATACATATGTCCTAAGATTTTGTGGGTCCTTCTGTATACTCCTTGCTCTTCCTTGACAATAGGCGAAGATTGCAATGCACAAAGACTAGGTCTTCAGCTCTGTTTGTTGCTAGTCGATTTCTCTTAATGCTTTGAATTAGAGAATATGTACTTCAATTTTTCTCGTAACAAGAGGAAGATGCTGGCTGCACAAGCAATTTAAAAGCCAATGCTTGTATTAATGGTGTGGAAGCACCATGATTGGCCCACCATGAAAAGTTTCTCAAACATTCTTGCATCAATGACATGAGGCTGGTTGAAATAATCTGACCCACTAGAAAAGGCTCCATATTCAGTATAAACTTTCTATAAATCAGTTTGATTAGGAAACAACCTCTTCAAACATTTGCTTCTATTCATGGAGACTTCATGATCCTCATGTGGTGATATTTGTGGAACTCAATTACTACCATCTTGAAGCCAAGCATGAAAGGGGTATTACTTTTGGAATCAATGAATGCGCCATACAATGTCAAGGGGTATTACTTTTTTGTTCCATCTAGTCTCCAAAATTTGGTGAATGACATTAAAGAAGGTTGATTGACCCACAATTATGTCTATCCCTTCATGGTCAAAGATGATTTTTTTTCACATTTTCAATCATGGTATCGCACATGTCATGTATTAGATGCAAAACTGGAGAGTCTGTGTCTGCTTGCCTTAACATGTCAATGATAGGTTTAGTAAAGCTTATAAGGTAATCTATGTTGTTCCACCATGAGTCATCCACAATGCATTGTTTGACTTGTTGAAGGAAACTGGAATGCTTAGCTGCAAGGCCTGTGACACTCCACTGGAACCCAATTAGAAATTGGGAGATGATGAAGGAGGAGCAACTGTTGATAGGGGGAGTTATCAGCGATTAGTGGGTAAGCTCATTTACCTATCTCACTCCCATCCTGATATTACTGTTGCTGTCAGTGTGGTTAGCTAGTTTATGCATGGTCCTTATTAGATTCACTTTGAGGCTGTCATAAGAATTTTGAGGTACTTGAAGTCTGCTCCTGGTAAGGGTCTTTATTTTTCAAAGTATGATCATCTTCGTGTGGAAGCCTATATAGATGCTGATTGGGTTGGATCAGTAACTAATAGGAGATTGACTTCAAGGTATTGCACCTTTGTTGGAGGCAACCTAGTTACTTGAAGTAGCAAGAACCAGAACATGGTTGCCAGGTCAAGTGCAGAAGCTTAGTTTAGAGCTATGGCACAAGGGGTGTGTGAGCTCTTATGGATCAAGTTATTGTTGGGTGATCTAGGTGTTGATCAGACAGACTCCATGCGGTTATATTGTGATAATAAGGCCGCTATCAACATTGCTCACAATCCGGTTTAACATGACAGGACAAAGCATGTTGAGATTGATCGCCACTTCATTAAGGAGAAACTCACTAGTGGCACAATATGTACTCCCTTTGTGTAGTCTGGTGAACAACTTGCTAACATCCTCACCAAGGGAGTTGGGAGTAAACCCTTTCATGGCATCTTAGGCACGCTGGGCATGAGAGATATCTTTGCACCAGCTTGAGGGGAAATGTTAGAATAATATATTATTATTTGGGTTATTATTTTGTAATTATTCTATGCCTTAGGGCTCCCTTGTAATTCTTGATCTTCATTAATATAAATAGGGGATGATATCCTAATCATTCCCTAATCGTGGCAATTTCTAAATTTATCACTTTAATCTCAGCCTCAATATTGCCGCCTTCTTTATAAATTTTCTAGTTTGCATCCATCACCATTTTCTCAAGGGATGTCTTAACTTCCCTTAAATGTAATGCCATGATGATGTTGGATGCAAACCTAGTTTCTGCCACACTTAACAATCTCAAACTAGTATATTCATTAAAAATTGACAATGCCATGCTATGGTTGATGTTAAAATCCACCTACTCTCCACCTACTTCACCCACTTAAACCTACTCCACTAAACCTAACCCACTACACCACTACCACATCACCTACTCCACTAAACCTAACCCACTAAATCCACATACTCTCCACCTACTTCACCCACTTAAACCTACTCCACACTCCTATATAATAGGAATCCTTGTAATTGTAATATACACAATAACAACATATATCAATCAATAATACAATTCTCTATTTTTTTTTTTATACATTGAATTTTTACATGGTATCAGAGCCAAGTTAAGAAGCTAATAATTCTGCTTCACCGGCGGGCGGCAGAATTGCCTTGGCCGCCCGCCGGACCTCTACACATACCTTCACTCCGCTGCCACCAATTATTCTTCTTGATCTTGATCTTCTTGTTGTTGCTGATTCAAATGTTTGGTTTTCATCATATGAGGAAAATTCTCAGATGACATAATCACTACTGTTATATTTCTCAGAGATGAAGATTCCTTAATTTTCTTGAGCAATCATAGCCTGTCATTCCAGGCATACAGTAATCTGTAATAATCAGATTCACTTCCAATCCCTAATAATCAGCCTCGCCTTGTTCGGCAATCGGTGAATTCGCATTCTACGACGTCGTCTTCGTCTTCGTCTCACATTGCTCATCATCAGAGTTCACAGGTCGAAGGATCGAATCCACACAGCAACACTTCAAGTTCAAGCTCGAGCTCGGTCTCGTCTGCGGAAAGATCTCTTCTTCCCAGGGGACATCAAAGAAGAAGCTGTTTCATGCGTCCTCCAGGGGCTATTCTTGCTCCTGGTGAGACTATCATAGCAACTGTATTCAAGTTTGTGGAGCCTCCAGAGAACAATGAAGAACCAAATTTTGGGGGACATCAATTCAGCTTGACCCTGTTGGAACTCTAACCTTGGAGTTTGATGATGGTGATGTTTTCCAGTGGAGCAAGGTCACAACATCCATTTGTAATCTTATCCTCGGTAAAGTGAACCTCAAGTGGTCTAACTTTTTATTTTTTTTTTATTACTATTATTATTATATCAAATAATCAATGCACTCCTGTTCCCCACTCTACTTTCTTTTCTTTTCTTTTTTTTTCTATTTATTTTAATCCATCTTTTTTGCAAAGCAAACGAAAGTTTGCACACCCATCATCATTTTATTTTATTTTATTTTAACCCCCTTATCCTATTTTGATCATCATGTCCCCACTACCCAATTTTCTTTATTTTATATATATATATATATATATATATATA